CTGTGCTGGCGGTGCGAGCAAATGGCGAGAAGCTTCCCATCCAGTTCATCATGCGTGGCAAGCAAGGCGGCGGCATCGAGACGGCGGAGTTCGATGGCTTTCCTATTGCTCATCACTATGCGGTACAAGACAAGGCATGGATGGACTCACGTGTCTGGGCGCTGTACTTGCGTGAAGTTCTCAAGCCGCAGGTCCGAGAGGCTTCTGTTCTTTTGCTCGACAATTTTGACCCGCATGTAAGTAAGCAAGGAGTCAAGATTGCCAGTGAAGAAGCGGGGTGTGTTGTTGCGGCCATCCCACCCAATGCAACAAGTCATGTGCAGCCCTTGGATGTTGGTATTATGGCCCCTTTCAAGCGGCATATGCGCAACTTATGGCTGGAAGAAGAGCTCATAGAAGGTAGTGATAGTGAGGAGGATGTAGATATGATGACTGTCCCGGCGCAAAAAAAGCGTCTAGCTATGATTCATCGTGCCATTAAGGCATGGGCACGTATAACGCCGGGAGAAATCCGTCGAAGTTTTGCTAAGGCTATTCCACAGTAAATTCTCCTTCAGTAATGATTTTACTAGTACATAATTAGTAATGATTTTACTAGTACATAATTAGTAATGATTTTACTAGTACATAATTACAAGAAAAAGTTCGACGCGCCCGGGACTCGAACCCGGGGCTCACTCAAGCAAGACACACAACGTGTTTTACCACTGCGCTATCGCGTCAAACGCTTATCTTTTGAGGTTGTTCATCAATACGCCTAATTTAAAATATTAGATGTGTTCGAAATTCTGCAAAAGCGATTGCTCTTGTCTGGTTGGCCACAAAATCGAACGAATTTCGAAGTACTTCGTCCAATGAACTTCCGCCATTATCAGAAATTCGAAGTGCAGGGTGTCCCCTAAAATCTGTCGTTGACTGTACACCAGGTTGACGACAGTATCTAAGTCAGGTAATCCATCGAACGCCATCAATATCGCGAACGGTTGTCATTATATCCAATTCAATGGCTTCATTATGTAATGAGGAGTTTTCATTGGATATGATTATATTCAGCCAAAGGATCAGGACACCACCTTGAAGTTCAAAACTATGTTCATTTTTATGTTGTCCAATACAAATTCCAACTTGAATCTTAATATAATTCGTTCAAATTTAATGAAGAATTGAGTTCATGTATAAATTAAAACGCGTCACGACACCCAGGTATATTATTTTGTAAATTAATATTCCATACATACAAAACTCAGTTTCACCAATTCTTAACGTTACGTTATAATTTCAAAATACAAATCGATTATTGGGATATTTCAGGCACTTCTTGGCACTAAAAAATGCAGCTGGATTTATATTTTCCAACTCTACCTTTAGTTTTTTTTTATTCGAGGAACTTTTTGTGGTGGAGTGCTTCAAAGATTTGACATTTTAGTGCACAAAAAGCGTTCGCGATATTAATGGATTACCTTAGTCCGTTTTAGATGAAGGAGGTAAATAATAAAACTAGAGATTCTGAAAGTGTTGTCTATATAACCATGACTTGATCCGAGTACATCTTCCAAACGTAAATGGCCATTCATTTAATGCAAGTTGAATATTTTCGAGACGATGGTTAGGTTAAAAATATAATTATTTGATTCGCCAACAAAGAAAAGAAAATCTTTTCATTGGTTACAAATTGACTGCCAAACGTGATACTTTGAAGAATATTGATTTATAAAATTAAGCAGATGAGTTTAATCATATTCGTCACCAGATTCTTCCCCAAGCAAAAACGCAACTCGGCAATGACACGTCCTATGGTTACTTGGCCGAACCCAAGACATTCCCGGACGCTGGTCCTGACTTTGCGTCGTGTTCCGCTGGGTTTCTTTCCTTGCATTGCATGAAGTACTGGTGGCATTTGACCACACGAGCTATTCCGCAGGAGAGCTCGTGTGTTTAACTTTTTCTAATGAAGGCCAATTGCAAATGCGAGAGATGCTAAATTAAGCTCACATGATTGTCTGTTTACCAGTCGTTTCACCTTTCGTATTTATAGGATTTTTCATATTTATATTACAGTTTGTATCGGTCGTGTATCATTGTCCCCTACCGGTACAATAGCACCGATGAATATGATCAAAATTCCGATCTCACTTAGTATTTGTATGCTCTAATTTTGGCCAATAAATCGTCTCTATTATCTATTTCTACCTATAATATTGTAGTAGTATCTTATCCTTCACCATTTTGACCAATCAAAGTCATTTAGGGGTAGGGTTAGCTCAATTCTGTCGGTTCCGACACATTCCGACGAACATCATTTGACCAACATCATTTGAAATATATTGAACAATGTGTGAAATATACCGGCTGTGGGGTGATATATACTGGACATTAGTCGAAATATAATGCAGCGAAGAAGGGTCTGGACGAAATATATTGAATGCTTGTCGAACATAACGCCCATGGCGTGAATCAGTTGTGCGTCGGACGAAATATACCGGAAATAACCTGAACTTAAACAAAAATGGTGTACTGTACTGTAGTAGTGGATCGCGAAACATCCGGATAATTAACCGGAAATAAGTAGGGGGGCTCCTCGGCCTGGTTCGCTTCGCTCCCGGCCTCCGGTGCTCCCAGACATTAGATAGATCATTGCTGTTATACTGAGTCGCTACGCGGGCGAACGGGCCTGGTTCGCTACGCTCCCGGCCCTGGCCTAAGCTAGCTCCTGATAGTTCCGGATAAAATGTTTCGCGATTGTTTCGTGACCATCATTCTCTCTTACAACAATGTATTATCACTATTTAGGAGTGTTGGTAACTAATGCGTAGTAGTTACTCGTATTCATGCATATCGGCAATCAACACATTGGCCAATCACAATCTATTGGAGTTCCTGTCACGAAGGATGACTCTCTAATTGAAGGAACCGACGACGTCCTCGTTACTACGTAGTATTCGACTTGTTTGTGAACTTCATGGACTTTACTCAAGCGATGGCATTAGACTTTAACTTTACTGTATAGAGAACATGTTCCCCCCATGACGACGAGGATCCTATTACTCACGTGCGAGCCGATTGTGCAGTGTGCACATGCCGAGCGTCTTGCCCAGTCGTTTACATCCGTCAACGACGCACATTTTATCCGGTCGATGGGTCTCACACACGCCCCCTCCCCGGTCCGTGCGGCCGCAGCCATCCACCGCACACAGCCGACACCCCCCGTGCTTGGCGCAGCGGTCCCCCCGCTGAGCCCCCTTGCTGCACCCTGGCTCCAAGCAGCGCTTACCGCCGCCATGGGCCCGACAATACCCTCCTCCTTGGCTGCTTTTGCCGCAGTTGGCATGTTTGCATCTGGCGCCCCCGCCGTGGGCCTTGCAAAGGCCCTGGGATTGGGCTGCGTTGGCACAGTCGGTGATCTTGCAGCACTTGCCCCCGCCGTGGCCAAAGCAGTAGTCGCCATTGTGCGCCTCCTTCGTACAGCCGTGGATGCAACACGGCTTGCCGCCGCCGTGGCGCTTGCACAGGCCTCGGGAGCGAGTCACGCGATTACACCCGGGCTCGAGGCAAGCCTTGCGGAGCGAGTTCTTTATGTTCGAGGTTGCGATATGCCTGCGCTCAGTGGAGATCTCGGACGTATGTATTGGGGTTGATAGGTGGGCGGTCGATGGCTCTTGGGCGGTGGGCCACAAGAAATCGCTGGCTTCTGCTGGGTCGTCTGAAGCTTCGTGGCTCGGGAACGACAACAGGTGCCGCATGCTAAACCGCATCGAGGTCATGAACTGCGAGCAGTACTTGGCGATGCTGGTGCAGTTTGGACCTGAGATGGATTTGTGTGAATCACAAATACCAGACACAAATACAGCTGCCCGCCATCGATTGATTGCGGCGACCTGTGTGTAATTGGCCCACCTGCGCATTCGGAATAATACCAGATTGAGCAGTGAATGAACAAGATTCCGGTCGGCCAGTTTGCTTTTATTTTCACGTCGACTTGAAGCTACAACGCTGTCGCAAGCCATCGACTTCGATTTCTCTGCATAGCGCTCGTGATGAGCTGTCGACCGGCGTTGCTGCGAAGTTACTATAGTCTCTGACAAGTTTGTTAGGTACATGTAGAGGCAGGGGTTGCACCCTAAGCCCAATCCATGGCCAATCATCGGCTCAAGCTTATTCGAGGAATGTTCGGTCTTCAGATTTTCCCAAACACATGGTCCAGTTGTGATGACTAATCAAACGTTATATACTTAAGACTTACGGGACAGCATTGAATATTAATACCAACCTTGGATACTATGGTTAATATAATATAATTGTTGAATTAAAAGCATGGATGACATGTGGATGAAATTTGGATGACATTGGATGAAATTGGATGGACGAGGCCTGTCTGTATACAATGACCTAGCATTATCCTAATTTACTCTCATCTATACTAATTAGGATATGACCTAATATTAATGGTGGATGACGTTGGGATGATGTTTGGATGACACATGATACTATCACGGATATTTGAAATCCATATAAATAATTCGAAGTACTGTATTGTCATCGGAAAACGTAGGCCAGGTGGCTCACTGCTTTTGATTGGTTAAAATGCTATTCTTTTCGCCCAATTGTCTCAACTTGCTTATTCATTTGCATATTTCATATTGATCAGACTATCAAGCTACCATGCCTAACTTCTTTTACGCTTCGAATATGCCCTTTTCGTTTTCGCGCCATTCGTCTCGCGCATGATCCGACCGACGGTGACGACCATGAGCTGCCCGAACCGTCTTTGCCGTTGGCTCAGGATCTTATCAACGACTGCGTCCAGAGCATGGACAGCGCAGTCAAATGATTCGACGACGGCTACCTTGGTACTTTCGATTGGCCCAGTAGGATGTACTTCCTTGGAGTAGAACTGCCAAAGAATAGTCATAACGTACCGCCATTCAGACAAGATGCGCTTTTGAAGTTTCGTTGAGAGGTCGCTTGGGTCAATCGTGCGATAAGGGATCTCATTGTCCTTGCAGAGCCACCACAAAGCCCAAGCCGTAGCCACGTCAACACTTGGGAAACAAAAATGCTCCGGCAGCTTGTGTAGGCGGCCACCCCAGGCAAACAGCATGTGTTCGCGGCGTCGTGGCGGGGGCTGTGCCGGTACAACGTCAGCACTGTTTCCACCGCCGCCAAGCCGCTCCAGGATAGTCGAAAAGTGCCTGTCGATGTACGCTTGAGTGACTGTACTTGCCGAGAGCTCCTTTTCGTCCCAGATGTCCCGGACGCCAGCAACAACCTCGGTCGAGAGTGCCTTCAATGTCTCATGTTGTGCTTCGAGCTGACGGTATAACTCAACATAGGGCGGAAGGCCTGTCGGTGCCAACGTCGCCGAGCTGGATCGCAAAAGAGACCGTAGATTTACCCGCAATTCGTCGTCACGAAATATAGCCGTGTGCAAGACAGCGTGGCTGGCCGGTAGTGTGCTGCGAAGGTAGTCGGCGTGGAACACGAGTGATGCCAACCCAAGCTTGAGAACGCCGAGTAGAGCCACGTTCTTGGAAAGTCCCGGAAACATGTACCGCACTGCACTTGTGACGGTGGCGCTGTCGGTGGCGTCGTAGTGGGGTGGCAGTTGAGCGAAGCCAGCGCTGTTGAGTGGAAGGCCGCCACCACACGACCAATAAACTGATCTCCGGCCTTCTCGTAGTGCATATACCGCTCCACAACGTTGCCTAAGGACCACCCACAACGAATACAGACGCTGATTACCGACGGTCCACTTGTGCTGCCGGGGCACACGAACGTCGTAGCACCTTTTCGAATGGAATGGGTGCCAACCGTGCCGTTTGCTGTGCTCCCAAGAACCGCATGGGCCAACGCCTTGAGCGCCTTCCCAAAACGGTCGCGCTGTCTTGCACCCGGAAATAGAGCACCCGTTGCCATCGTCGGGTTACACGCAAAGTAGATGCCAAGGGCAAGGAAGGACCATATGGCTGGAGACTATGGGTTGGCGTACAGTAGATGTGCTTGGGGTCGCGCCGCTTTGACCCCGACTGGTCGGTCTTGGACTTGAAGTACGTGACGCCCATAGCATATATCTTCTTCCAACGAAATGTGGTCGAGATGAATCGTTTCTGTAGACTTGGAACGCGCCATCAGGTTCCACGAAATCACCAGAAATAGGTGCGCGAAGCCGCTATCCAGGATCTTGAGGGATTCAGTGCACAGTGCTTCGAACATGCTGAAACCGAGGGGTCGTTTGCCTGAGTCCTTCAGGGACGACGACTGCGCGTCCGTTGCGGTCAGACGTTGAAGACCTACTCAGTTAGCAAACGAATGAGATGCAGATGCTCCGATTGCAATTTTGTACCCGTAAAAATCGTTTTGAGCTTGGTCTCGTACTCCACAGGCATTGCAACATCCTCGAGCTTGCAGTACCAGCGAAGGGCCGCCCGGTACCCTGACATTGTCCCGACTTTGACGGGTGTGTGTTGGTACACCCAGACAATGAACTGGACAAAGTTGTCGTATTGAAATACCCGCAAGTCGACTGTGCCGTCGTCTTTGAGCAGGTGCGTCCCACCAGTCACATGTATCCATTTGATAATCTGTCGAAGCCCTGACTCATATCGCTCCTTTGTGCTGTCTGCAAGGCACGAGTCAATGATGTCCTCGAGCGACATATCTTGTCGCTGCAGGATCGTCGCCGGCGCCATTGACTTGGTTTTCAATGTATTTTTAGCCAATTGTCTTTGCTGCTTTTGGAGTCAGCTGGATGGCCTACAAATTCGATTCCTCCATTGCCACTCGCCAAATATATGAGCTGTTGTATACCTGTACTCAGCGGTGAATGCGAAAATGTAGGCCGCCTGTCCTACGTCTCTCTTGATTATTGTATATCTGGCCACGAAATCTAATGAATGTACCAGTAGTTGAATCAGGGTATTACTTGAGGTACTATTAATATCGAGGTGTACTAC